TCAGGTGAGACCCAAATGGGTAGGGTCACAAGGACAAACGGAGAGATGCAGATACAGCGAAGAGGCTTCAGCGGAGAGAAGAGATCATCAGATGTTCTGCCGGGGGCTTACAGACCCGTGTCTCAGAGTCCTTGTAGTCACGGGGCTACATGGGCACATAGGGTGGGGGGTGTCCCAGCTAGGGGTTCAGATGCGGTGTTTAAAAGCATTACAATTGCTCTCTCAGGCTCCTGTGGATTCCCAAATCGGGACTGCACTGGGTGCTGGGCAGCGCCCGCGCTCCAAAGCCCCGCCTGGGGCGCCTCAGGAGGCTTCAGAGCCGCTCCTGGGCTGCTGGTGCTCACACACGCCGCGGAGACACGTGCCTGCTGCACGCTGGGTAAATACAGACCCGGAGCCGAGCCGACCCTAATTTAGACGCCCGAGAAGCTGCTGCGCGCATGCACACGTGTGTCCCCCACCCCCACCCCCACCCCGGCTCGCTGGCACTCTTGTCCCCTCCCCCTCCGTCGCGTGCCGGGTCTAGCGTGAGAGGGACTAAAGGAGGTGGCTGTAACCCTCAGCTTCCCATGGAAGGATCCGTGAAGGGGACAACTCCGCGCCCTCACCTAGAACTCTCCCCTCCTCATCCTATGCCTCCTGGATTTCTCCTAGCACCCAAATCAGTCTCCACCTAAGGGGCGCTGATGGGAGGGACTAAACATAGGGGCAGGGCTTGGAGACCAGCTCATTAGCATAGCATCTAAGGTAGAGCCTGGGTAGGGGTTTGGAAAAGGGGCAACTCAGCGTCGCCGATCTCCGCGGGGGATGACGCGGGAGCGCGCAGCCGCCCCCGGAGGGCTCTCCGCGCTCCCGCGAGCCTCCGTGTAGACCCCGGAGGTCGCTCGCTCCTGCCGGCTCGCCGTCACTAAGGCCCGGAGCCTAGCGCACGCTCACCCTCCCGCCCCCCGCCGCCTCTGCTGCCGCCCCCTCCTTGGAAACCAAGTTACCAACGTTAAGCCAATCCCCGAGCGCAACTCTGCCTCCCCCACACCCCACCCGCCGCGCCGCGCCGTCCTCTAGCCCAGCTCCTCGCTCGCTTCGCTCGCCTCCTGCGCTTCCCCCGCGGCGGCGATGCCAGGGCCCTGGCCAGGGCTGCGCAGGGCGCTTCTCGGCCTCTGGGCTGCCCTGAGCCTGGGGCTCCTCCGTCTCTCAGGTAAGAGCTGATCCCCGACCCGGGGGGGCGGGGGGCGGTGGACAGGGCGGAGGGCGGAGTTCCCGGACCTGAGAAGCGGCCGCGCGCCCCTCCCGGCTCCGCCCTGCTCTTCGCTCCCACTCTTCTGCCTGAGGTCTACCATCTCCCCACCCCTCCTCCTAGCACGCACCTGAGACCCCGCTCCCCGAGTGCCTAAGTCTCTGTGCTGCCTCTCCGACTCCCAGAGATCCCGAATGCTCTTCCTCACCTCACCCAAGCTCGAATCCGGAGCCCTCGGGTCTCTCCTGCCCCTTCCCGGGTTACCTCCTTGGGGCTTTGCTGGGCACCGTGGTCCACAGGCTGTCATCCTCCGCACTTGCGGTCCACGAGGACCCAAGCTGTCCAACTACTATGGTGACTCAGAGGCGCTGTCCCCGTACCCCCCGGAGTCCTGGCAATGGGACCCCTGGACTATCCTTCCCCGCTGTCCCTTGCATGTGCCGCGCCCTGAGGCTTCTTCCCATGTTGTTCATCAGGATTTGGGGGCCTCCCTTATCCTTGGCTGGGCCTTAACGCTCCTTTGCCCTCGCCCCAAACTCAGTCTTCCTCCCCAAGCGATGTGCCAGGACTCTTGAGAATCCATTCGTTCCTCTTCCCCCCACCCCACCCGGGTGGGTTTCTCCCCCCCACAGCGTTGCAGTGTGCCAACGACCCTCTTCCCCTCCCCCATTATTTGCCACCGTTTTACCGGAGCCCTGGAGACCAGCGCTTTCCGCCCCCATGTCCCAGAGGCAACCTGGAGGTTCGGACCCTGGAGGGGGTCTCTGAATCTGAGGTCTGGGCTGGAGCGGGACTCCTCGGCTCAGTCCTGACTTTGGCCTCTGCGCCTTTACCTGGGATCCCTGATTCCGGTAGGGGCGCTCAGATTTCGGAGAGGGGCGCCCCCTAGGCTGAGCCCCGTATTTCTTCGCGCAGCGGTCGCGCAGGAGCCCTTCTGGGCTGACCTGCAGCCCCGAGTGGCGCTTGTGGAGCGCGGGGGGTCGCTGTGGCTGAATTGCAGCACGAACTGCCCACGGCCGGAGCGCGGTGGCTTGGAGACCTCGCTGCGCAGGAATGGGACCCAGAGGGGTTTGCGTTGGCTGGCACGGCAGCTAGTGGACATCCGCGAGCCCGAGACCCAGCCTGTCTGCTTCTTCCGATGCGCGCGGCGCACTTTGCAGGCGCGAGGGCTCATCCGTACCTTCCGTGAGTTCTCCACCACGCTCAGCCTCTGTTCCCTCCTTCCAGGCTCCTCCTCCTGGGTACCACTCTCCCCCACCCCCACCCCGCCGGCGCCACGAAGGCCCTCCCTCCAGGTCCCCGCCCCACTTACCCCCCCTCCCCACTTGGGCCGCTAAGTTCAAGGCACATTTCAGAGCTTCGGTTCCTCTGCAGATCGACCGGATCGCGTAGAGCTGGTGCCGTTGCCCCTGTGGCAGCCGGCGGGCGAGAACTTCACCCTGAGCTGTAGGGTTCCGGGTGCGGGACCCCGTGGGAGCCTCACGCTGACCCTGCTGCGGGGCTCCCAGGAGCTGATCCGCCGGAGTTTCAAGGGGGAACCACCCCGAGCGCGGGGCGCGGTGCTTGCTGCCACGGTGCTGGCGCGGAGGGAGGACCACGAGGCCAATTTCTCCTGCCGCGCGGAGCTGGACCTTCGGCCACACGGGCTGGGACTGTTTCAAAACAGCTCGGCCCCTAGACAGCTCCGGATCTTTGGTGAGTGGGTGTAGGGAGGGGGAGACCCAGTGCGGTCATACAGACAGAGACTTGAATTCTAATCTTGACTTCTATAGCTGAAAGTCTCTGCCTGGAGGATGATCGTGATGGTTAAGTAATAGTGCATGCAAACGCTTAGTGCTCATCGGGTGCCCAATGACATGTAAAGTTCAGCCTCTTCTGTTCCCCGCCCCCACCCCAGTCCTGTCTCCCGAGCCCCCGCGCCTGTCCGCTCCCCGGCTCTTGGAAGTGGGCTTGGAAGAGCCAGTGAGCTGCGCCTTCGACAGACTTTTCCCAGCCTCGGAGGCCCAGGTCTACTTGGCTCTGGGAGACAAGACCCTGCGTCCTGAAGTCACGCGCGAGGGGGACGCGCTCACGGCCACTGCCACAGTTACAGCGAGCGCAGAGGAAGAGGGCACCAGGCAGCTGGTCTGCAACGTGATCTTGGGAGGCGAAAGCCGTGAGACCCGGGAGAACGTGACTGTCTACAGTAAGAGGGTGGGGAGAGGGAGGGGCGGGAACCTCTACGGTTCGGGGCGGGGTCAGAGGAACGCGCAGGCGGGGCGTGAGGATAACGGGCGGGCCCTCCATAGAATTGCAGAGCAGACAGGGTCCCAGAGCCTCGAAGGGGCGGGGCATATGGGGGCGGAGCCTATGCGTCTCAAGTGGCTGGCCTGGGTTTGGTTGTTGAGCTGCCAGGATTTTGACTGTAGGGGGTTGGCGTTGAAGGGTAGGAGGGACTTGGTCGGTGGACTCCATGCTTCTGCCTGGGCTCCAGTTTTCCAGGCGCCCCTCCTAACCCTGAGCGAGCAACTAGCCCCCGAGGGGACGACGGTGACAGTTACCTGCACCGCTGGGACCCGAGCCTTGGTCACACTGGATGGAATTCAAGCCGTGACCCCGGGGCAGCCTGCCCAGTTCCAGCTAAACGCCACCGAGAATGACGACAAGCGCACCTTCTTCTGCGAGGCCACCCTCGAGGTGGACGGGGAGACCTTGAGCAAGAACGGGAGCGCAGAGCTCCGAGTCCTCTGTGAGCTGAACTTTATCCCCGCGGCTTCGCCCACCCGAACACATTTCCCAGAACCTGCCGAGTTCCCAGCCATAGCATGGAGGCAGGAACTTTCTTCAGGGTTCACGCCTAGCTCTGTTTCCCCTTCTGCTCGCAGATGCACCCCGGTTGGACGATTCGGACTGCCCCAGGAGCTGGACGTGGCTGGAAGGCCCGGAGCAGACGTTGCACTGCGAGGCCCGCGGAAACCCCGCGCCCTCGGTGCACTGCGCCCGGCCAGACAGCGGGGCGGTGCTGGCGCTTGGCCGGCTAGGTCCTGTCACTCGAGCACTCGCCGGCACCTACCGCTGCACGGCGGCCAATGCCCAGGGCGAGGCGGTCAAGGACGTGATGCTGACAGTGGAGTGTGAGTGGGCGTGCGCCTGGTGCATGCCAGCCTTGTTCTCAGGTCTAGCGGGTGTCCGTTCTACCAGGGAAGAGTTGGAACAAGATCTGAGACGGGTCGCTTGGGCTAAGGCTGATTGGGGTTAAGAGATAGACAGAGGGGACAGGGTGTGCCCATAGGGGTCTGGGTCATAGATTTAGGCGGATGGTTGGAGACAGACGCTGGAGAAGGCAAGGAATGGGTCCAGTGGGTGCTTTGTGGGACATGGGTTGATAGTGCAGCCTCCCTTTGGCTTCGTGTCCCTCTACGAAACACAGCCTGTCCCCTCCCTTCTCTGAGGCCTTGGGAAGGAGAAAGAAGGACATCATGCCAGTTCCCAACCCCGAACACGGACTGTTTCCGCCTCCGCCCTGCAGACGCACCAGCGTTGGACGTCGTGGGCTGCCCGGAACGCATTACGTGGCTGGAGGGAGCGGAGGCCTCGCTAAGCTGTGTGGCCCATGGGGTCCCGCCGCCCACTGTGATCTGTGTGCGCTCCGATGAGAAGGAAGAGGTCTTTGAGGGGCTGCTGCGCGTGGCCCGGGAGCACGCAGGCACTTACCGCTGTGAAGCCGCCAACGTGCGAGGCTCAGCGGCGAAAACAGTGACAATCACGGTGGAATGTGAGTGGGGGCGCGACGGGGCGCGACGGGCTTTGTCAGGACAACCCGGGCCTGACTCGCTGCCCCTGTGTCACCGCTGACCCCCAGATGGCCCCAGATTTGAGGAGCTGAGCTGCCCCAGCAATTGGACATGGGTGGAAGGGTCTGGGCAGCCGTTTTCCTGTGAGGTCGATGGGAAGCCAGAGCCAAGTTTGGAGTGCGTCGGCTCCGGGGGCGCCAGTGAGGGACTGATGCTGCCGCTGGTATCCCCCGCGCCCACTCCAAGAGCCCCCCGGACCCCTAGTGCCCTGGCACCGGGCATCTACATCTGCAACGCCACCAACCCGCACGGCTCCGTGGTCAAGACGGTCGTCGTGAGCGCTGAGTGTGAGCGGAGCCCAGGAGGGCGGCGGGTAGAGGGTGGAGGGGCGTCCGGACTCGACCCCAGCACCACCCATCCCCTGCTACTTTGCAGCGCCACCGGAGATGGACGAATCCACCTGCCCGAGTAACCAGACTTGGTTGGAAGGGGCCCAGGTGGTCGCGCTTGACTGTGTTTCCCGGGGCCTCCCCTCTCCACTGGTGCGGTGCTCCAAGGAGGGCACGCCCCGGCCCCGCCCGGAGGGACAGCGCGTTTCCCGAAATGACGCGGGCACCTACCTCTGCGTGGCCACCAACGCGCACGGCACGGACGCCCGGACTGTCACTGTGGGCGTGGAATGTAAGTATGGGCCGCAGTGCCAGGGAGCGGGCCAGACGCCCCAGAAAAGTGAATCTCCGTGGTGAAGGACCCCAAGGGGTGCAAGGGGCATCTCCGCTGGGCTTTTCTCTGGGCAAGGATTCACCACCTAAACCGTGGATGATGAAAATCTCCAGGGAACAGGGACCCCCAACCAAACCTATTGCCTTCTAGTCGATTCCAAGTCAGCAACCCTATAGGACTGGGTCCAACATAAGCAAAAGAGCCTGGTCCCCTTAAATCCTGGGCTAGGACACGGACGCAGGTCCCTATCTCCCAATCGGTGGAAAACATCTTGCTTCCGGTCGGTGGGAATTCTAGTCCCCACTACAGTCCGGCTCCAGCCGGTTTATTGGGGAAAGAGAACCCTCGCTCCGCCATCACCCGGCGGGGGAAGGGGTTCTAGTTGGCTGGCGATGGGCGGAAGAAGGGTGCTTGGCCTGCGGCTGAGCCTCTTTCCAGCGCCCTGTTCTCTGCAGACCGGCCGGTGGTGGCTGAGCTGGCAGCCTCACCCTCCGGAGGAGTGCGGCCTGGCGGGAACTTCACGCTGACCTGCCGCGCCGAGGCGTGGCCTCCAGCCCAGATCAGCTGGCGCGCGCCCCCGGGGGCCTCCAACATCGGTCTGTCCAGCAACAATAGCACGCTGAGCGTGGCGGGT